TATATATATATATACCAGGTGTATACCCATGAAATGCGGATTTTTCTAACAGAAAACCATGCCACACGTACGTTCTTACGCGTGGTGATTTGACATATATAATATTTTGTTTGGTTATTCCTAACCTACAAAACCATACATGTGGAAAATTGTGAGAGTGTAAATATCATATTCTTTTTCTGCTTTGAAAATGTCGAATTTCGTACCAAAAAAGACCATTTGCGGGAAGTTTTGATTCATTACTTCATTTTGAAGAAAACTGCTGCTCAAACTTATCGAATACTTGAAGAATAGAAGATTACGGCGAACATGCACCATTTCTAGACTCTTGTGAACGTTGGTTTAATAGATTCAAAACTGGTGATTTTGATGTGAAAAACAAGGCTAAGGGAAAACCATTTTTTTTTTTTTTTTTTTTTAAGGCAGAGGAAATGCATTACGCACCCCGAGAGAGACGGGACTTTCCCAGGGGTAGTGTGGGACTCTCCCCACCCCCCCCGGAACTAACGGCTGGGGGGGGCCTACCCACTAAAACCTCTGCCGGGCCTCTTGCGGCTATTGCGAGGGCGTCCCGGGAACCGCTTGCGCATTACTTCCGGGACGCCCTCAGCCGCAGGGCGGGGAAAACCTAAACCCCGCCCCCTTCTTGGGCCAGGAAGCTAGTTCCCTCCCGGCCCGCTGTTCCAATCCTCCATGACCGGACGTGGGCCTCCCCGTCCGGTTACACCTCTCCTGTAGGGGCGCTATTGGTCGGGTCCCGTCCGGACCCGACCCCCCTTTACGCTCCCGACCGAGGTTGCTGGGGCGAAGGGGTCTAAAAGTTCCTCTCCGCCCCTCTCGGTCAGGAGCCTCACGGGAAAACCGCCGAAAAAATTTGAAGATGCAGTGTTGCAAGCATTGTTGGACAAAAACTCCACTCAAACTCAATCACAATTGGCGGAAGTATTAAATGTGACTCAGAAAAGTGTTAACGAGCGTTTGCACGCGATGGCAAATATTCAAAAAGAAGGAAAATGGGTACCACACGATTTGACTGAAAGACAGATGAAGAATCGAAAAGTCACCAGCGAACTCCTGCTGAAAAGACATCAACGGAAGAGTTTTCTGTATCGAATCGTCACAGGTGATAAAAAATGAATATATTTCGAGATTCCCAACGAAGAAAATCATGGGTTGATCCAAGCTAACCATCAACACCGACTGCAAGACCAAATCGCTTCGGAAAGAAAACAATGGTCTGTGTTTGGTGGGATCAAAAGAGTGTTGTTTATTATGAAATTCTCAAATCTGGTGAAACGGTTAATGCTGTTTGTTACCGACAACAAATGATCAATTTGAACCATGCATTGATCACAAAACGTCCGGAATGGTCCCAAAGACATGGATAAGTGATTTTGCTACATGATAATGCGCAGGCCCATACCACAAAAGTTGTAAAGGAAACTTTAAAAGAATTGAATTGGAATGTGCTACCTCACCCGCCGTATTCGCCGGACATTGCTTCTTCAGACTATCACTTGTTCCGGGCGATGGCGCATAGATTGGCTGAACAGCACTTCGCCAATTTCGAAGAAGTGAAAAAATGGGTCGATTCATGGTTTGCTTCGAAAGATGAAAGTTTCTATCGTCGCGGAATCCATCTTTTGATGGGTTCTGGGGGGAAAAGATGGGAAAAAGTTGTAACGTCGAATGGCGCATACTTCAAATAAATAGCTTTAACCATTTACTTCAAATTAACATATGCTTCTCCTAAAAAAAAACTTCATAGGTATACATTTGGTATGTGTATATATATATATATATATATATATATATATATATATATATATATGCTTTTTATATAATAATATAAAAAGCAGAGAATGTCCTATAGAATATGTGAGCTACGTATTACTCATATTGATTTATGCTACAAAAATCTTATATAGTGCTGTGTTTCTTTTGTGAATAAATAATGTTAGAAAAGTTTTGTTTGACATAAGCATTATGTATATAAATATTCAAAGCAGATACACTTATATGTGTATGGTTTATTTGCATGTCATTATATTAAAGACCACATGCATTTTAATAAGATATGGTTTTTGTAATAATAAGTAATATCAGAAAAATTTGCTCTCACACAACATTTAATAAGATTAAAAGCAGCAACAATAAATCATACTTAAAATTTATTTACTTTTAATAATATCTACTGACAGAAGCATCTAGTGTCATGTCAATTGATTTTTGCAATAATTAAAAGTTTAATTTTGTAATAATTTGTGTCAAGAAACGTGTTCTGACATGAAATATTTATAAGATTATTGACAACAGATGCAAAATACATTGCATCAATGGAACATATACGACTGGCCAATAATGGCAGAATAAAGATGCGGCCCCACATTAACAAGAGTAAATGTGATAAGCAGGGTTGAAAAAGTTACTTGTAAAAAGTAATGCGTTGCTCTCACACGTTATCTTTTTTTTTGTTAAGACAGAGGAAATGCATTACGCACACCCCCGTGAAATATGGGACTTTCCCAGGGGTTTGCACATGTTTGCACATCAAGAGTTTTTATTTGCACATTTCCTTTAGTTTAAAAGAAATTTAAAAAACAATTTTGGGGAGGCTAACTTCACACTAGCCTCCAAGTTGCTCAAACTTGACTCACAATGCATGTAATCAATAGATTTTTGTTTGCACATTTCGAAACAACTCGAATTTTCGTTTGCACACCTCTAGAAAGAAAGTTATTTGACTTTAAACTTTGGGGAGGCCAAACTCACACTTGCCGAAATTTATAACTGCAAAATAAAATTGTTTGACGCATGATATCATTAGGTTTTCGTTTGCACATTTCGAAACAAATCGAGTTTTCGTTTGCACACCTCTAGAAAAAAAGTTATTATCATTGAAATTTGGGAGGGCTATTTTCACACTTGGCGAAACCTTTTTTTTTTGGGTAAGGCAGGGGAAATGCGTTACACACACACACACCCGAAGATCAGGGAACCCTCGGGGGTAGTGTGAGACTTTCCCCCTCTGCGAGAGAGAGAGGGTCTACCCACTAAAACCCCTGCCGCGATCCTTTCCGGGCGGTTATGTGGGGACATCGCGGGCATCGCCAGCAGCATTCTTCCACGGTGCACCCACCGTGACCAATTTTCAGCCTGACCGGGGTAGACGTTCCCCCGGTCCGTGCCTTAATTGCGGAGGAGGGCGATCCGCTTTGCCACCTCCGCACCGCCCTGTTGCCGGGACCCGGTTCCCTGCCCGGGCCCCGACCCCCCTCGTGGCCGGCGCACGGTAACTTTGCGCGCAGGCCATATAGGCCCATTCGTCTGTGGGGGAGGGTGGGTGGTGCCCCCCCCCCACGGCACCGTTTCAAGTCGCCCGGAGCGGGATTTCCAAGCGGTTAATCCCGCTCCGGACCGGGGACCTAACCCGATCTAGCGGGCTTGTCCGCTGCTCCGTCTGCTCTGCTGACGCCCCATCATCAATGGGAAGCGGGGGTGGGCGCCTCCTTCTGGAGACGGGCAACCCATTCCCTCGACTTGGTGTCAGCCGATGCCTTTCCTATGTGCAGGGACAGAGGGAGGGCCGATCCGTCTTCGCCTTCTCCTCGGCGGTTGGCCCCTTCCGTCCCTGTCCTCAGCCTCCTTCTCGCTATCGGAAGGGGCAACCTCCTCCTTCCAGATTTTTTCGGCCTCCTCCTTCCGCAACATTACCTCCTCGCAGAAGGAGGAGACCGCCATCTCCACTTCCTCTCGCTCTCGAGCATTGCGCGAATTATGCTCGAGAGCGAGAGGTCCGCCCCATCACCTCGATCAGAACCCGGCGCTGGTCTGCCCACGCCGGACAGAATTCCAGCGTGTGCTGCGCCGAGCCTTGGTCGGCCGCGCAGTGGTAGCAGGCCGCCGTGTGCTCCTTTCCGATCGACCGCAGGTACACACCGAAACAACCGTGTTCGGTGAGCACTTGCGTCAATCGGAATGTCAGCCCGCCGTGGGCCCTGTCTAGCCAATCTTGCAGACAGGAGCCGATGGCATCGACGGTCCGTCGGCTCAGTGCTCGCGGGTCGTCCAGCTGGAATTTCCAGCGTAGGACAGCCCGCTGCCGGGCCTGCTTCCTTGCGAGGTTTATGGCTCTCGCGGAAATTCCTTCCCCGGAGCTGCGGAGCCCCTTGATGCGCGTGTACGTTTCAGCGTACATTTGCGCTAAGAGCTCCGCAGGCATCACCCTCGCGAGAGCCGTGGCGGCCGCGTGAGACACGGTCCTGTAGGCCCTGGCGAGGCGAATGGCCATCCAACGTTGCGACCGGTGCATCAACCTTTTGATGCGCCGGTTCGCCTCCGCCTCGCCGGCCCACACTGGGGCCCCAAAAAGGACTATTGAGTGGACCATGCTCACATAAAGCCGTCGAACCCTCGTGTTAGGACCGCCGATGTTGGGCAGGAGACCACCTAAAGCGTTGGCCGCCCTGTCCAGTCTGGGGGTTAAGGCCTCGAAATGTGGCCCGAACCCATAGGTGCCATCTATGATGAGGCCCAGATATCTCATCGTGGACTCCACGTCTATGCGGGCTGACCCCATCATGATCACGGGAGCCATTGTGGAACCAGATGGACTCCGATTTTCCGATGGCGCCACCTCTAACCCCATCCCCCGGATGGAGAGCACGGCACAGCCGACTACGACCTGCGCAAGAGCTGCCGTCTCCCCCCAATCTTGCCCCCTGGTCAGCACGAGTGTATCGTCCGTATAGCAGATCACTCGACTGGCGGGGGGGGGGAGGGCAGTGCGAGCACGCAGTCATAAGCGAGGTTCCACAGAAGCGGGCTTAGAACTAAGCTCTGTGGGAACCCCGAACCGCTTTTCCCTTCCGCGCTGGAGTCCACTTTGAATCGTGAACTCCAGCTTCCGGCCACGGAAGTAGTCCCGAACGATCGAGACCAGGTAGGACGGCTACCTATGATGGACGAGGGCCGCCTCTATCCGGTTTCAGGGGAGGGTGTTAAACGCGTTGACGATGTCTAGCGACAGCGCCATCAACACCCCCCCCCTCCGCCACTCGTTGCTCTACGAGGGCTCGTACCTGCCGAATGGCGTCTACGGTTGACTTGTCCTCGCGGAACCCAAATTGAGCTTCGCTCAGGTCGGGACTACCTCCTCGTAGCTGCCGGACGAGGCGGTCAGCTATGATGCGTTCGAGCATCTTGCCTACCTCGTCCAGCAGACATATTGGCCGGTAAGCGGAAGGGAGCTCCACTGGTTTGCCCACCTTGTGGAGGAGGACCAATTTGGCCTCCTTCCACCTTTGGGGGAAGACGACAGCCCTGAAGCAGCAGGAAAAAAGCTGCCTCAACCGGCTGCCGAGGGACAGAGCCCATACCACCCTTGGGACGCCATTAGGGCCAAGGGCTTTCTTGCCCCCTAGTCTTTTGGCGACCCGGGTAATCTCGGCGACCGTGACCCCCAACTCGTCGTGCCATTCGGCGGGAGGACCCTCATATGGGGGCAATATGTAGTTGTGCCCCGGGAAGAGGGTCTCCACTATCTCCTCCACCCGTTGGGGGTCCATTTCTTCCGTTAGCGGGGGCGACCATGGCTTAAGCTTGTTTCGTACGATGTGGTATGATCGCCCCCACGGATGTCTATCGAGGTCTCCGAGAACTCTTCCAGGCCCTGTTCTTCGCGTCCCTAATCTCTGCGCACAGGGCGAGTCGCGCGGCACGGTATTCGCCCTGTGCAGTTGCTGTTCTTGCGGCATTTCCGGACCGCCTCGCAGACTGGAAGCGCCTTCGTAGACGGACGGCCTCTTTCCTCAAGGAGGCTATCTTTGCCGTCCTCCAATAGGCGGCCCGTAGGTGGATCGGTCTCGCTCGGGCCATGGAGGCGTCGCAGACACTCTCCATAAGTGCCCTGAGATTCGTGACCGACTTCTCAATATCCTCCCAGGTCAGGAGGTCGCACTCCTCCTGATCCCAGGTCGCCGCGAGGACAGCCGCCTTGAGCTCGTCCGTGTTCAGCCGAGTGAGGGCCCATCGCTTCGGCCGGGTGTCTTCCAGAACTTGGCGGCGGGCCAGCACCTCTCTGGGGGTGGCGACCAGGACTACCTCTATATAGAGGTGGTTCGATAGTGTTTCTAACTCAGTTTTCACCCGCCAGGATCTCACCAGTCCAGCCGCAGTGAGGCTGATCTACGTGAGGTCAACAATCGACTAACCCTGCGGCCGGACGCAGGTGCTAACGTAGCCTCTGTTTAATAAACAGAGGCCAAGACCCGCCGCCCAGCCCGCGAGAGTCTCGCCTTTCGCATTCGCTCGCGGGGAACACCATAGCTTGGATTTGGCGTTAAAGTCCCCCGCGAGCAGGACGGGTCGGGTGAGGCACTTGGTTCTTATAACCTCCCTCACGCCGTCCAATAGATCCTCAAATTCGGCGAGGCTCAGCGCGGACGAGGCATACACCCCGACCACCGCCATAGACCCCCATTCGACTGCCACTATCTTTCCGCCGGCGTGGACACAACACGCCGGCGGGGAGTTTTTTGAATACCTCCTAATGATGGCCAAATTACCCATCATTCCCGGGTTCCCCGGACGACCCATCCAACGGGGGTCGTTGGGGGGGGGGATGTGGTGGGGTTCGGTGGCCACAGCCAGGCCTGAATCACGCTCCGCCATAGTGTGCCACAAGAGGTCTTGAGCACGGCGGGCGTGATTCAGGTTGGCTTGGAGGAGGACGGTAGCCATTATGATTGTGATTGCTGGCTACCGACCTCCTCCATGTCGACCTCTATGGAGGTGGGTGAGGGTTTTTTCCTCTTGCTCCTACCCACCGACAACGATCTCGATCGGCCCTTCCTCTTGGCGCCTTTCGGCGCCGTCGCTTTACCGGCCACTTTCTCCCCTCCCCGTGATCCAGGAGTCGAGGTTCCCGGACTCGGGGGAGGGGGCGGGACCATATTACCTCTCGATTGTCCCTTCCGTTTTGAGGGTTGGACCTCTTAGGCTGGGGAGCCAATGTTACCTTTATAGGGGCCGGGGATGGGGTGATGGTAGCCGAGACCTTGGCTCCAGCTCCCTTCCTAGCACCTTTCTTTTTCTTTCGCACGGCCAGGCAGTTTTCCGATCCCAGCCTGTGCTCCACCGGCTTATTTTTGCCAGCGGAACAGACTGGGCATGTTGGCTTGGCCGTGCAGTCCCAGGCCTTATGACTCGGACTCCCGCAGCGGTAAAAAATCCCGCTGCGATCTATCTCGCCCCTACATTGGACTTGACATGTCCCCCCTTTAGGCAAAGGAAGCACTGGAGGGGTCGGGGCGAAAGAATCTCGGCCCGGGCCACCGTCCACCCGATCTTTATCTTATCAGCGGAGGCAATCTTGCGGGCGGCCCCCATCAGGCATCTGACCCAACAGGAGTTAAGCCCGTTGGGGGCGCGGCTCACCGCTCCGACGTTGACCTCCGCTGGAGAGCATTCTCCCGACTCGGCAATTGCGGACTGAACGTCATCCGCAGTCACCGAGTCGTCGAGATCCTTAATTCTAATCTCGACGCTCTTCGCGGGGACAGCTACTCGAACACCGTCGGTCTCCACAAAGAACGCGGCCAGCTTGTCGGCCAGGGCTCTGGCCTTGTCGTAGCTATCGGGGCCAGGGACCTCCAAGATGAGCGACCCCGTAATGCCGCGCTTGGGAATCACGTTGGAGATCCCCAGCTTTGACAGCTTCACCTCATCCCTAGCTTTTATCATCACCTGCGCATATTCCATTCCGGGGGCGCAGGTGATGGTAACCGCCGCCCGGGAGGGCGGCTTTAGTTTGGGGGTAGGGGGAATGGTAGACCTCCCCTTATTCCCTTTTGCTGGGGCTTATTTCCCACGGGAGGAGCCGGGCCCTTGATTGGAGACCGTGGTTTGCTCCCCAGCCGTGGTTCCGTCCTTTTTGGCATTGGCCGCCCTCCTCCCCATGACCGTCAACCAGGTCTTTCGGGTCATGCTGCCGCCGTGGGGAGGAGTCACTGCTTTCTCTTGGGGGGCTGCGGGGGATTCGACCTGTGATGGCCGGGGGCTGTGCCCACCGTCTGCACCCTCTCTGCCGCCTCCCTCTCCGTCTTTCTTCTTTTTTTCTGGGGCTTCTTTTTCCTCCCCCCTTCATTCGCCCCATCGTGCCTGATTCTATGACGGGCCGTGGCAGTGCGTAGGGAGAGTCGGGCAGTGGGGCCTCTTTTGTAGCTACCACTGCCCCCTCCCCCCCCTATTTGTGAGGACGGGTATCCATGAGTGACACTCATCTTTCCAGGAATACAGGGGATCAAGATCTCGAGGAGACTCTCGAGATGCCTGAATCCCCCTCCCCCCCGCCCGGGTTTCTCCGCGGCTGTGCAGGGTGACACTGGCGGAGGAGTGTCCAGGCAGACACTAACTCCTTCCAACGAGGCCTAAATGCCAGTGGAAGGGGCTCGTTGGCTATCTCCGCCAGTATCTCCTCCCTTCTACATTCGAGCTTCTCCAGAGCAATGACTTGGCTCTGGAAGGCCTCGGTCGACATCTCCCTTCCTCCGAGTCGCACTCGATCGTGCGACTCTTCCTTTTGACTGCCCTGGAAGAGCGTTGGAGGAGGGGCTCTGACTCCGTCCGCGAGGGTGTGCTTCCCGCAGCTCCGCACAGAGAAGCAGAGGGAGAAGAAGGAGAAAGGAGTGCCGAAGCCTCCTGTTTCTCCCTCAATTTTGCCCTCAACTCCTCCATTTCTTTTTGGAGACCCTTAATTTGATTCTTCTGCTGGGGGGACCGTCACTCTCCTGCAGCCGCTCCCCCCGTCCACCATCCGAGCTGAAGCTGAGGAACTGCCCCCAAGGCTCGATGGGTAAGGAGAGTGTTGGTCGCAGAAAGTTTCTCGACGGCCTACCAGATTTCATTTTGGACGGAGCCCTTGAGGTTTCTCGACATCCCCGCCACCTTCTGAAGGAGGGCCAAGCACTGTACTGCCGTTGCGGACAGTTCAGTGGTCGGTTTCTCCTTCATTTCATCGACCAGGGTCAGCGCGTTTTCGCCGGCCCTGATTACCCTACTTCCGGTTGACGCGATCGAGGGATCCACAATGGCTCGGTCGACCGCGGCAGCTCGCCTATCCTTTTTCATTCTCTCTCTCTTCGCCCTTTCTCGGCCGTAAATTGATCTTTGTGAGCCTCGGTCTTCGTCGGCTTGCCCCTCCTCTCGATCGGCCTACCGTCCCGAGTAAAAAGCTTCAAACCGGAGTCGATGTCGACGTCACTGTCTGTTGAAGGCACTGTCTGTTTCACGACTTTATCCTCACCTGTCCTGATCCTTGTCAGGACACCCGCCGGACTCCAGGATCTTTCCCGGGAGCTGGAGGTCGAGGAGGCTTCAAGGGGTCGTGAAGGAGAGGGCCCATCAATAGCCCTGCTCCTGTTGTACGTTCCCAAGCGGCTCTCCTCTCTCCTCCTCAGCTCATCCTCCGACCTGTCCCTCCTTGTTCTGGACTTGGGGCCGGGCCGTCGACTCGGCCTGAAGTCCGCCTCCCCCTGTTGGCTCCTGCCGAGCGTGGAGGGCCATGGAATATAGGGCGTGACTCCCAACGTGAAGTGGGATGCCTCTCCGGTGTCGACACTACGTCTGCAGACGCCCTTAACATTAAAATTTGAGCAATCCATTTTTAGTTGAATCCCACGCACCCGCACGGGTCCGACTCCAGGGCGGGATTTGACTCCCGGTCATGCCCCCGAGTTCCCCCAGGAGAGAGCCATATGTCTCGGGCCGCCGGAATGTTACATCGGCGGCACTGGACTCCGAGCCCCTTACTCACCCACAGGCCGGACAAACCTAAACCTGTGGGCTTTCGGGGGTCTCACGTCTCCGACAACGTGGGCACCGTACGGGTGGGCGCCACCCGGGGTGCCCCAGGGACGGTTGGGGCGATGAAAGTGCTACACCCCATCCAATGCCTTATCCGCCGTGGCGACCAGCGACGCCCCACAGAAAGGGGATTGCCCCCCTGCGGCACACTTCACCCAGTGACCGACTTCGGAAAGGATGCAGTCACCTGTTATCGGGCACTCCGACCGCCAGACCCTGCCCCAGAATACGTCAGGGCGACCCTGATGGTCGCGCTTAACGATTACCCTCCCCGTCGGCCCGTCCGGCATTAGAAACTCAACCGGCATGGTCCGACGGATCGCAGGTGGCCGACTTCTGAGAAGACCCCCGGAAGCCGCCTGCCCCCCCCCACATCGGCGCATACCCAGGGATTAAGTGTCCCGAGGCCGTGTGCCAAAAGGGAAGGGACCCCCATTGTGGGACGCGGCATCCATCACATGCCAAAAAGCACGACCCGAAAGCCGTCTTCCCCAGACACAGTGCGGATACGCACCCACATCCCCCTGATTGGTGCACTCTTAGACCCCAGGCCCTTCCCACGGCCCTCCCAAAAGTTGGACTCTTGGTACTGCCCAGCGAGTCGAGACCCAGGGAGCCCCCTCACCACGTCAAGATGGCGCACCCCGAAGGAGACACTTGTCGAAACCTAAATTAAAATTGCAGAAAAAAATTTTCTGACGCATGATATCGTTAGATTTTCGTTTGCACATTCCGAAACAAGTTTTCGTTTGCACACCTCTAGAAAAAAAGTAATTTAACATTGAATTTGGGGGGGCTAACTTCACACTTTGCAAAACTTATAATTCCACAAAAAATTGTCTAACGCATGATAACATTAATTTTACTTTAGATATTTTACATTTTAGTTTAATATTTTCATGTTTATTGTTTTAGGATTTGAATTCTAACAAAAACTTTTTCACTGTAAATATTTCCTTTTAGTCCTCTACATAAAAAGTTTATTTTTCCTTTTATATTTGTCAGTTATATAAGTATATAGTTTTTTGTACACATATTTCCATCATATTATAAGAAGATTTATATATTTTATTTTTATTATACATTTACTTGGATTATTATACTTTCCCAGTAAACGCTAGATATTCACTGGAATATTCACCAAATGTTCCACAAATCCAATAATATTATGTCAATAATATGTTAATAATATGTTGCTGTATTACCAGATTATTTCTAATTGTTTCCTTTAACTCATACATGTGTGGTTAGATAGAACACTCTGTTTTGTATTCAACACTAATTTTTTTTTTATTTACGAAATATATACTTAATACCCAATAAGCAATTTGACCGCAGACTGCGCACAGCTTTGATCAAAAGTCGACACCAAAACCGTAGTCCCTATTGAGCTACGGTTTTGGCGATAGAGCCTGCTGTTGGTCAATTGTTGCAGATGTGCAGCATGAACCGCGCTTAACTTGCCGCGCGACAGGACTCACGCTGCTTCTGTTGCCAATCGGCTGTCAGATCGTTGCAGGCTTTGCACGGTTTTTGCAGCAAATTGTCTGTAAAAGTTTAAATAAAAATGTTGCATATAGACCCGCTTTATCTTTCTCCATCTCTCATGTGGGGAATGCTGTGGGACGCTGAAGAGTTCGCCTGGAGTTATATAATGGCTACGTTTAGCAAAAGAAATTGCTTTGCAACTGTTGTACAATTCGTGAATCTGACTAATGTGTGCTCTTATCCTTGACTGGATCTAAAAGCATACACCAATCCAGATGTGCGAATTTTAGGACAGTTGCAAAGCAACTTTCTCTGCTCAACGCAGTCATTGAATGAATGGGCGCGTTCAGCGGAAAAAGCGCTCAGTGAGCAATCAGCGATTATTAATTCTTACTGTTAGATCATTAAATCTAGACCAATTACATTGACGAATTGCTCAACTGTTGTACAACTGTTGAGTTCGCTGAACGCACTATCTATCAATCAACCACCAGTGTCAAAATTTTTGTGTATATATTGTGGCGATCGCATGTTAAGATAAAAGAATTAAAGAAGATGACGAATTGAAGGATAAATTAAATGAAGCGTTCCTTAGAATATTTTGTATTTATATGAAACTCGTATTTTTTCAATAAAAATGATTAGCTGCGTACTCGCCGCGACCGAATTTAATATAAAAAATGAAAGACGGCACGTTGAAAATTCCTGCATCAGTTCTAAATAAAAGATATTCCTAGGAAATAGCACTCAAAATCGCTTCAGCATACTTTTGGACAGTCAATATATACCTATGAAATAGACTGTGAAATAATGCCTAATTACGCAAGAAAATGCATGGTCAAATAACTGACGAAACGAGTAAAAATTATATTTTCACACTTTGTGTTTCATGAAAAGTCAGAAATATATATATATATATATATATATATATATATATATTGAACATTTTACAGATTCTCTGAATATGTTACATATTACAAAGTCCAGCGGAGTAATTAATAAAAATATGGCAAGCAGAAATATACTAGAATGTAATAAATATACTAGAAAATATACACATGTAATTTTTCATGCCTATTCCGTGCTGTGCTACGAAAGGACGGACCGCTGTACATTTTTGTTTAGCGATCAGTCCAAACTTACTAGACGAGGTTCTAATCCTTACCATTCAAAACAGTGTAGACTTTCCGCATATTTAGTAACATAAATGTTGTATTATACATAATAATTAATAGTAATATATAATATAATAATATGGACATAATAAACTATTAACCTACGCATACAAAGTAATATTTCATCGTGGTTTCGGATTAAAGGAATGTACTGTTTATCATAATAATCTTAGATTTTCCTATTCGTATTTATATATAGAGTATTTTACGACACCCGAACCAAAGGTAGGTGGAACCGTATCAATGGTAGTATATCGCTGCAATAGGTAATAATAATAATAATAATATTGGCATTAATTATGTACCTATGTATATAAAGTAGTAATTTATCGTTGTTTTCGATGAAATGAATATTTTTTATACTAATCCTACATTTTCCTATTCGTATTTATATACAGGGTATTTGACAGCATCCTTAGCAAGAGTATTATATCGCTAGAATAAATAAAGATAAGTAATAAGAACGCTATCTTTTTCGAAACAATACACTTTGAGTTATTAATTAAAGAAGATTGGCAAATGATTACGCGCTCGATGTGATAGATGAGTTTTGATAGCTTGTTATCATATGTCTGTATATTAAATCAAACTGAGCGAAGAAAGTTCCCAGTAAACACAACGTTACATGTAATCTAAAAGTTAGTCATAATTTCGTACTCAACAATGTAACTGTTCTATAACACGTATATTATATAGTATTTACATTGTTAAGTAGGAAATTATAATTTATTTTTGGATTACATGTAACGTTGTGTTTACTGGGTCCTCTATCATTTTGCAGATAACATTTTTTTCGTTATTAATTAAAGAAAATTAACAGATAATTGCGCGTGACAATGCACCAATGGGAGCATAATCATTCACCAATCTTCTGTAATTAATAACTCAAAATTTGACGTGCTTCTTTCAAAAGAGGTACCGATTCATTTACTTAATCTGATTTGTAAGAAACGCCTTGTATGTAAATATATACATCTATGTGTATATATATATACACACACTTATATATCTACATATGCGGGTGTAGAAATTTATAATTTATATATACATAGCAATAGAGAACAATAGCTAATAATTACATATTTATAGTAATTATATTTATAGGATTCTAGAAGTAAACGACATTTGCAATAGAAAATGTAACATGTTTTACACGTTTTAAACATGTAAGTATGTCTACGACAGTCATGCGAATTAATTCGCACATGTCATCGCGAAAACGCAATGCAGGAGGAAGATATTAATATTTGTAAATTTGATTTTATACTCTTTCAAATTACTAAGTGGGGCAGTGAAGAGTGATCGCCCTTTCTATATTTTTGCTGCGTGGCAGATAAATTTCGTGATGCTCACAATATTGTACCTCCACGCGTTTTATATACGCAGCGCCCACTTTGCTCATCTGCTTCCCCTTTGACTTCTGCATCTCGCTTGTAGTCTCGCCTTTGACTTCAACTTTTTTCTTGTCGTTGAACTGTTTGTCTTCTATTGTTAATTATAATTGTGTGATGTAAAAAGCTTACAGAGATGTTTATCTTATATGAAATACATTTATATAAATACATCTATATGTTTAGAATAAAGAGCAAATTGATAAAAATAACGTATAGGAAACTCTGGTTCACGTACCAGCGACATCGTCTATGGAGTCCAAAGTCATGAGATTGTCGAGACTGATTTCCTTGTAGTCTTTCTCGGGCGCACTAAAGTCCGTCTCCGTTTTGCCATTACCGTTAGTGTTCATTCTCTTTTTCAGCTCGCTCTTTCTCTTAAATAAAAGATAATAACTTATCAGTAATCTTACAATAAATTTCAATCAATGACTATTGAAGTGATCTTACCTTCATATTATCCAAAGAACGAATGTTGCGTCAGACGCAAAAGAATGACATAAAGAATTGCTTCATTTCTGACGGTGTGACTCAAATGATTGATGGACGGTTTTCAGGGAACGGTAATTCAACTTGCAAACTGCGCAGAACATGATGTTTTAGGGTAGTGTGTCGCGAGCTATGTCGCGCGAGCTTTGACGCGTCGCTGTTCCTGCGGTTGCAAAACTCTCATAAAGCGGAGTGTACAATAGAAATCGTATAGTCGCAAGTCGTACAAATGTACCATTCGCGGTCGATTATTCTTCTCATACTTGATCGCGATTGGTCAATTTCTACGCTTTACGACTTTACGACTTCTATTGTAGACCCCGCTTAAGAGACGCCTTGTGTCGCCACACGATACGTATCATAACCGCGCTGTAACGACCAGAGAACAGACGAAGCGAACTCTTTGAATGTTACGCTGTGATAAGCGCAATGTGGACGTTGAATTTTTTACCATCTCTCAAAAGCTTCCAAGCTCTTCTTGTTGTGTTTTTATCTTTTTATTTTCATCTTCTCTCTTCTCCTTTCCTTCCTCATTTTGTCCTTTCCTTCCATATTTTTCGCTTTCTTTCTTCTTTACCCTTTCTCATCCTTCTATTTTTCTCGTTATTTTATTTATTACAATTTTACATAAGCTATAATACTCAGACTTACTAATGTACGCGATATTGCTTTTGTCTTCAACGTTACTCATTTGTTTTTTAAATTATCATATTCTTCCCAAATACCCAAATGCGTGATTCTCCGACAATACGCTGTATAATGTCCCGTTTTATCAATTTGTCCTTAATAAGATATTACTCCTATTAACTGATACTTTTTTAGGTTTAGCTGTACATTAACAGGTATTTCGGAAAGAGAAATATTTTTAGAAGCGCCTTTAAATCCCATTAGCGCCTGAATTTTACTATTATAAGCACATTCTACATCGAAAAATAAATGTTCTCTTGACTCTATTATGCTGCAAATAATAATCTCACAATTTATACACATCATTTTTTTACCTGAACAATATATATCAATTGCTTTTTGCAAACTTTTATATAAACCATCTTGCAATATCGGTTTTGAATTTAAGTCGGCTACTGGGATGTTTTTATGTTTGTTATACTTCTGATTACAGCGGACGCATGTGCTTTCTTGTATAAAACTAGGTGCTTCTGCTAATAATTTTGTATTTAAAGTAAATACGTTACACGTACAATCGACAATGCTTTTATCTTTTTTAAACAAGACTGATAAATAGGCAGCGCGTTCGAAATAAAAAGCGTTATTGATACCAGTTATAGCATGATTTATTATTAATTTAAGAAATATAAAATTTTTTTACATTTCATCAACAATTTTCTTGTAAACAACGGAATTTGCATATGCTGTCATTATTAACTCAAATACTGCATCGAACAAACACGTCATAGTTAATTGTATATTCATGCCGTTAATTTTAACTGGTGGAAGTAAGGAACCATTTTGAATACATAAACATTTTTTTACGAATAGGACGATTATGTGAGAAAACTAGGTCAGGACAAGATGATAAGTATTTTCCTCTCTTTTTATTCTCAGTAACCTTTTTTACATCCTTTTTATAATCTGCATTGTTTTTATTGGTGGATTTTGTCCGCCCCAATTTTCTTCTACATCTAAGTGAGTAGATGACTCTTGAAGATCTTCATCTTCAAGAGACGTTTCAACGATATCGTTTTTTATTTTAGTTGATGATTCTTCAAAATAATCTTCAATAGGCGTTTCAATAAGAACGCTGTTTAATTTTTTTGACGGCTGTTGAAGATCTTCATCTTCAAGAGACGTTTCAACGATATCGCTTTTTACTTTAGTTGGCTGTTGAAGATCATCTTCAACGGACGTTTCAACGATAACACTTATATTATATAAGTGCATTAGCACGATTGAGCGCTGTCCTTTCTATTTTACAAACGTTTTCAATTGAACAAATATGTTTAATAATAAATTTATCTCCTCTTAAGGGTTTATCATAATCACTGAAAGTAAAATTTTTTAAGTCATTAAAATAAGCTTCTGATTTAGCCGATAAAGCGATGAGATATTCGGATTTTTTTATTGGTACCATTACATTGGTCCATAAAATAAAATATTTCGAAAATTGTATAAAAAGAGTTACAAATTCAGGGCAATAGTAAGGGTTAGGCCGTTCATCTGCATGTGTTTTTTCTGCACACTTTTCAGCGTTGGCGCGTAGCTTATTAAAATTAGGTAAATCTACGTCTTTCATTACATTATTTCTCTCATCTACTGAGGAATTATATAAGTCAGTGTTATCTTCACTCTCTTCTTTAGTTTCGTTAAATGTGAAATCGCGTATCGCTTGTAGAAGTAATTCTAATTTATTTGCGCATTCGCTACTTTTGTCATCGCATTCACTAAATGCTACAATTAATATCGCATAAAGAATTGTTTCAAATTGACTCTGTGTTTCAACAGTTTTTAAAAATCCTACGCATCGCAAATAAAAGTCTTTTATTCGCCTATATTTTCCGCAGAAACATCTGCACCTTGCAATCATTTTTATAATGTGCAATGTCTAAACGAATAAAGCATTTAGGTATGTCATTCGTCTTCTTTTTACAATCTAAAAGACTTACACATGATTTCATATAATAAGATAAAGTACAGTTATTGAATGCATATGTCACAGCGTTTAGTAATGCAAAGGAAAAATCTGTAATAATTTTGCACGGTACTTCACCTCCGGAACGTAGCCATTCGTTCAACCAGTACCGTATCGTATTTGCATCGTGTTTTTCAGATATCATTTGGAAAAGTGGTATGATACCACTTATGCCAGATGTAACTGCTTGATATAAAAAAATACTACGTGAAAATTGGCTATTTCGTTCTATTCGTTTTACGACAGAAGCATGTCAAATTTTGAGTTATTAATTACAGAAGATTGGTGAATGATAATGCTCCCATTGGTGCATTGTCACGCGCAATTATCTGTTAATTTTCTTTAATTAAAAACGAAAAAAATGTTATCTGCAAAATGATAGAGAACCCAGTAAACACAACGTTACATGTAATCCAAAAATAAATTATAATTTCCTACTCAACAATGTAAATGCTATATAATATACGTATTATAAAACAGTTACATTGTTGTGTACGACTAACT